ATGAATTTTCTTGTTTTTTGGCATCAAACTAAGTAGAACTCAAGGAAAATGAGGCAAGACTTTACAAGTTACCATGTAAGGTTCATCTGCTGAAAAAATAGAATAAAGTCTAAAATTCCTAATGAACATCACCAAGATGGTTCTGCCACCAGCAGTTCATTTTTTAAGGCACGGATCAAATACTGTAGTTATCTATTATCCTCACGGTGCTCATCAAATTATAGGTAAGAAACCTAGTCCTGTAATAATAATGGCATGGAATGACGGGCTCTAATTGGTGACTTGACCATCCCCAATAAGTTATCGAAAGAATTTACTTCTTAAAAGATCCTATGTTCAAAAGGTAACGCCCAAATTTGAAAAGTTGTAGAGGCGCTAGGCACAAATTGGACAAGGTGCCGCTAAGTAATGATTAAATGAATTTTTTATTGTTATTAATTACGGAAAAGAGGAAAAGAGAATCAGGCCGAATGCCAAAATCAAAATCCAAAATTCGAAAAGTGTAGAGTGGTGTAGGAGCCGAACCTTCTTCGAGATTACGGGCGGCGAGCGGCAACCTGATTGGCTACGAAGATTGCCGAGCACGGCCGAAGGCCTACTCGCCGCTTGGTAGGTGTTGACGGCGGTTTGACAAACAGCAGTTTTTGGTGAAATGTGGTCCGGAATATCTGGGCCAATCTGTTCACTCGTCAAAAGCCAAGAAACTGGAGTGGCATAGGAGTGGCCTAAATCATGGTGGCCCTCGTGAGTATTTCACCTTTCTGAAACTGCTTTATCCCGTCAACTTAACAATGCGGGAACGTTCCGCGATTAAAAGAGCTGTCTCTAACACAACTTTTTTCTCAAACTGGGCGAATTATGTCTGAAATTCTTTAGTTTCATATTGAATAGTAAGGTTATGTTTGATTGTTTGGATCCAGTTCGATACAATCGATACCGACTGTGACGTGGCACTAATAGAGTCTATAAAGGGACTCTACTCTAGGCCATTCTAGAGGTGTAGTTCGTTGGCTGCCAGTCAGCTGATAATCGAGTTGTCTTAACTCTGGGTATAAAGGGACTCTAGTCGGTACGTATTGTCGGTATACTTACTGGGTGTTGCTGGTTTGCCTATCGTCTCGCCTGAAGGGACTCCAGTCTTGCCAAAATTTCCTGGTGTGGATTGGTCTTGAGTAAACGAGAGCGAAACCGATGGATAAAGAAGATGGAAAAGGCTGTTCTACGATAATGTTGTCATTCTATGACATAATTAATAGTTGTGCCATTTTAGTATGATTGATAGTGATGAATTGTGTTCTCTATTCACCGAGATCTGCTGATCTATGGCCATGTCTTCTACGTCGAAAATGGAGAAATCTATCATGTGTGAGTATCTCACCTTGTCTACTACTCTCCTACTCATGTGAAACATAACACACGCTCACGCCTTTCAAATCTTATTCACTCCTTTGCCTTGCCCGCTCTTTCGTATTGGCTCCTCCCTTTACAAGCACTAAATGTTTTGCAATATCAGTTTGCTAATTTGCTCACATCTCAATGGCGGCAGGGAGTTGTTAGCTGTCCATTATCAATTGACACCTAAAGGGCACTTGTCTGTTTGCCCTGGCAGCAGGCTGATTGTTGAAATGTTTTGTTTGTCGGGACAACATAGATGATATACGTTAAAAGGCAGATCGTGATTGGTCGGTTATGTCTTATTGCTGCTTTGTTGTGCCTTTGTCGGGTGGAACTCACGACAAGCTATGGGCACCTCTTAAGTTTCCGACAGTATGTCGTTCATTCCACCCGACCAAGGCACGACAAAGCAGCGATAAGACATAGCCGACCAATCAGGATCCGCCTCTTAACTTATGTCATCTATGTTGTCCCGACAAACAAAAAATTTCAACGATCAGGCTGCAGGTATGAGGATTCCATAGAATGAGAAGAGAAATTTTCTGAAATGGTTTCATGACAGAACTATGCTATCAAAGCTTCCCGAATCAAAAGTTTCTCAACACCGCAGAAACAAATTCTTTTTTTATATCCTTAAATTAATTTACATTAAAAGTAGGGTTGCCACATCAAAAAATGAAAAAAGTGGACGGACGAAGCTAAAAACAAGGACAAGTTTAAGGCCCGAAAGGAGGATGAAAAGAGGCTATTTTTTAAAATAAAAGGACATTTTTGGCAAGAGCCATCTGTACTTTACCGTTTTGCCTATTTTTCTTTCCTTATTTTTTTCTTGAGTTTATAATGCTGCCACCGGGATGTATTAGAAAATAGTCTCTCCTTCTTACTGAATTTGGCACAATTTATTTTGTTTTTGAGCTCCTCAATTCTTGTACCTATCAATCATCAAGCTCTATACTTAACTACTTTGAGTTTATTCTTCTTCCTTCAATGAGGTAGGTAGCTGAAATTAAAGAACCCGCATTAAGTAGTCAAACATTGGACTTTATTAGAATTATCAAAAAACATTCTCTTTAAAATATAAGTAATCATTCTCAAACAATAAACATTCTCTTTAAAATATAAGTAAATGCGCTCTTTTTTCAGCACCGGGTTTTTTTCTTAACTTAGCTAAATATAACAAAACGCCGAGAAGAGTTTTCCGTGACTGTCTGTCCAACGCATTCATGCTGATTCAGAAATCGCCTCGTAGTCATATTATTGCCCAATGCTGCTGTTGTTGTACTCCATCAACATCCGCTGTCGTCCAAGTTTCAGCCGCCTCGCAGTACAGTGAGGATGCATGGTTGCCAAATCTTCGGGTTGCCTATCGATGACCTCGTGGGAAAGATGTTAGGACCCACCAATTAGGTTGCAGAAAATTCACCGATCGCCCTTGCCACGATTGCAGTGTGTCCCCTAGGATGTCCAAGGATGCCTTCGAATGTCCACTGGCCTGATGTCCCCGACGACCCTTCGGAAGGAATGCGCCTGAACCCGCCCAAAGGTTGATGTAGGATGAGCCAGGTTTGAAGATCGCCCTCGGCTTGACAGCAGCGTGTCCCCTGGGATGTCCTAGTATACTCTTTGGTTGTTCGCCGGCCCGATTATCCGGACAAGGAGGTATGACGATGGGAGAAATCCCTTGGGAGAAACGTGCCAGACTCTGCCAAAAAGTTGATGCAGCGAGATTTTCCAGGGATGTTGGGGATGTCGACCGTCACCACCCATGGATGAAGACAGCTAGACATCTTCCTGATGAGCCTGTAAGCCCAGGGAGATACTTCCGAGCGGAGAACCGGGATGACCAAAATCCCATAGGCACCAACAGGGATGAGCCGGCCTGCGGTCTGCCATAAACGGTTGGGCCGTGAAGTTATTGGTGTCACTTCAGTTGGGTGACATCTGCGACATGGACTGGAAATGCGTTTCTTGTCAGTGATGCGAATTCCAGGACGGCAATGGGAAACTCCCTCTGAGAGCAGGACCTCTGAAACGATTCCAAAAACACGTAGTTAGACTACTTCTAAGTTAACATTTCCTATTCTTAGCGGAAACTATGAAAATAAAATACTAAAATTTTAGGAATACAATTCTAGAGTATTATTCATATAAACTATAATTTACTGCAAATAACGGCAACGTAAGTAAAACATAACTAGAAATTATGTTCCAATTCTATATTGAAAGATGAATTGTACCTGATGGTTTTTTTTTCTTAAAAGTAAAAACAAATATCAGTAGAAATTGCTTTCCACTCATATACAGGGGCAGTAGCGCCGTCTCCACTACGAAATTTTTCCAAATAAAAAATCGAAAACTGTTCTGGGTCTCTTAGTTGTTACAATAAATTTGTGAACATTTTCATTTTAACTCGACCATTCCTATTAAATTGACGGTTCTTTAAAGGAAACAAGAACCATCTTGCTTACTTACGTATCGCAATTGATACAAATAAGGAAGGACTTACCGAAAGGAAGTAAGTTTGATAAGTAAAAATTGCAGCTAAAATTAAATATGTATTAAACAAATGAAAAAGTCACATAATCAGGATTAACAAAATGTGACAACGCTGCACATAACGTGCTGCGCGTTTAAAAGTCCGTTTATGCTTAGGTACCCCTGACGTTTCAGCAAGGAAAAGGAAAAATCCTTACCCTTGTTTTTAAGAGAAAGTATCGATTTCATGAAATTAGTAATGAAGGTAGGTAGTTCTAATTTAGTTACCGGTCGTAATTCACAATGAAAATTGCTCAACGTTAATTTGCTGATTCTTTTGCTTTAATAAAATGGGACTTGAAAATCTACATTTCGATGTAAAATTAGTTGATCAAGGAGCTTGGCCTTTTTTTTTTTTTTCTTTTTTAAATCTTGATAACTCAATCACAGAATTCATGCAGTGCAACTTATATGTACCGGTACATGCAACACATACACAACGAACATATTAAGCATGTACAAAAAGCACGAAAAAACGTACGAGTAATAAAAATAAGTAAATAATGAAACCAAAGTACGTGCATGCGTTCTGAATAAACTGAGTAGGAACGTGAAAGATAGGAGGAAAAGAGATGGAGGTAAAACGAATAAAATTTTCCCGAAGAGAAAAAAATATATTCATCTTTTCTCAAAACAGTAGATGATCAAGAAATGTTTAAGACGTTTTTTTCCCTTTAAATCTGCATTTTTTGCAACCGCTTCTTTTTAAATGGACTTTCTGTAATGAATAAAACTACAAAAACCCTCAAAAACATTTTCGGGCAAAAAATCCGGTCGAGGAAATTGACGTGTTACATCTTATTAACCAAAAACATTCCCTTTCACCCCTCCAAGAAGGTTGATAAAACTAAGTAAGTAACTATGAGATGACAAAAACCTCTCTTAAATTCTCAGGGTCCACCAAGGCCACATATGTCCAAAAACTTACTCNTTTGAGTGACTTTCTCAGGACCGTGGATTCTTGAAATTCAAATTTCCCGGCAAAGTGAAAAGTAAAATTTTCGTCGTTTTGGGTCATTAAGTGCTTATAACTTTTTGAAAACTCAATGGATCTTAATGAAACCCTTATACGCCATCCGGCTAACTTAGCTGCGTCCATAGACACCAAGATCGTTGGAATCCGTGCCGCCGTTTGCTCTGAATTCCATTTTATATCGAATCAATTTTCAGATTAAGGGAGTTGCCTGTGACTAAGAGTGTCGGCCACCCGTTTGTTATCGGGACTTTAGTAGGACGTCATTTTCCTCGACCGGGGGTGGCTACCGCCACTCTTGATCCCCCTTTCTTTTACGTACAATTCTTGATTCCCCGTCCTTTAAAAAAATCTGTTAAGAAGATTAAAATTAAACAAACGAAAAAATCTGAGAATCCAAGAATATTTCATCGTTTCCTGTAAAAAAAAATCATCGTCATTAGGATAAGAAAGTTATGCGTTTTGATATCAAAAATCCCGGATTGATTCTATCCCCCAGGATCGAATTTCCTCCTAAATCTCTAATCCTTGGGAGGCAATGTCCTACTAGAAAAATCATGATCCAGCTTTGATCCATGAAAACAACCATCAATTTTCAAGCAGACTTTCTTGTTGAACTCCGATTTGGCATCATCCGTGTAATTCGCAGTAGTACAACCTCGCTTCTTCTCTCTCATTCTTTTGACTTTGTAAACTTCGCGACTGGCGGCGTCAATGTTTAGAAAATCGCTGCGCTCATTTTGCTTACCTGAAACGCGTAAACCGCACGTAAGTTCAAGTTCATCGCTTGTTACTGTGAGCACCTCGACCTCGTTTTCGAGTTTTGATGCCTCTATCCCAGTTTCTTGCTGATCAAAATGACCATTTTTACCATTTTTTCCAATAGTGGAACTTCCGAATTCCTTAAGAATATTTGTATATTTTGAAGATCTCCTTCTTGAACCTCAAATGCGGCTGGTTTCTCCTCAGATTTGCAAATCTTGAACGAGTCGGGATCTCCACGCTCCGTAACGGACTCAACACTCCCTTTGTTTACGCCAATTTCCTCAGATCTATCTGAAATACTGCTCAAAATTGCATTAGATCCAAAATTCGTATCATTAAAATCAGACAAGGAATGAACCTCCTGCTTAACGTTTTTATCTTGTACTAAAATAACACTTCTTATGTAAATAGGTTCATAATTCGCAGTATCTGAATCTGAAAAATCATATCCAGATTTGTCCAAAATCACTTCCTCATCACTAAAATTACTCTTTATCATGTATCTTCTTGCTTTCTTGCAATCATCCTTTAAAGAATTTTCGGTTTCTTCAGAAATCGCACGCTTCGGGTCATGGGTCACTGTTGCTCCACGCGCACCAACATTGCTTTCAGTAAAAGACTTAAGACACTCATTTTTCTCAGGAAAATTACTACTAGGGTAAATTTTAGTATCAAAGGTATCATGAGATTTTACTGCAACGCTTGAAGGATCCAAAGCTTCTTTAGAAGTGATTGGAAATATCTTTACATGTCCTTTTTCCCTCACTATTGCTTTCACTGTTCCCCCAGCATTGTTTTGTTGTTGGAAATTCTTGTACCGGCTTTAATGAGGATTTGCGGAATGCACTCTTGAAACGGCGTGATTCACGTTCCCGTTCCATCTACACTGCTGATTCCTGGAGTTTGCTGAGGCACGCAAGGCATCAACCTCTTGGTTTCGGGTCCATTTTCTTTTCTTGGAGGGCATCCCTGCCATTTGTTGCTGTCCCTGACAGGACGCATTACCGTACTCCGAAGGAGCGGAGTTCAATCGTCGACATCGGCAGAAGTCGAATTCGAAAAAAGGGCAGTCGTCGACTCGAAGCGAACGGGTCGAATGGTTCCGCGAACTGCCGCGAATGTCATGAACATTCGCCGGGGCGAGTTCGGACGAGTTTGTTATTGTTTCTCATTAAACTAACCCCTTTTGACTTTGAGGACATTAGTAATAGTAATAGTACATCTACCTATTTAATAGTCAAGAATGTCTAATATTTTTCACTGAATAAATTTTCGCATGTCGTCGGATAAATTATTTTTTTGGCAGTGTGTCTGTTTAGNGCAACAAACGATAAAATGAATATTGAATAGTAAAATATAATGCACAATGGTGAACTAGGTTCGATTGGTTCGGTGCGTTCGGGCATCGACGTATGACCGTTCGCGAATCGACCTCTGACCGTTCGCCACGAATCGACCATTGCCGATGTCGACCTTTGCTACTCGTTCCTCCGAAGCTCGTAGCCTTTTTCCTGCCGCGACTATTGCGTCCACTTCCCTGGCCAAGTCCTGCCTCAAAGCGTCCAATGTGCGAGTGCTCCGATCCGTCTGCACGAATTGACTCAACTGCGGATACCAACGTTGCTAAAGTATTTTCCGCGGCTTTTACCCTGGATTCTAGCAACTGGTCGTGCCCCGCTGGGTGATTTATCGCCAAAAGCGACTTGCCTTCTTTCTCTGTGGCTGGAACAACCAGCTTAGCATTCTTGACGGACCTCACCAATTCTTGTATTGTTGAATCACGACTGATCAAAACTATGGCGCGGTACTGCGGTGTCAGGCCCATTTTTATGTTTTGAACTAGTTGAGCCTCCGAGATATTAAACCATAGATTCCTTGCCAATTTCCTCTTGGTTTGGACAAAATCCAACGGGTCCTCGTCACTTTTTTGCTTGCATGCCGCGTATCTTTCTAGTGCGTCCTCTTCGTCGTCAAAGTATTCTATCAATTTTTGCTTGACCTCGTCAAAGGATCGACAATTTATGAACGATACTACTTTGTTGTCATAATACAGTACCGCCCTCTTGCCAAGGTGACATCTGAGCTGTTCCCTCTTTTCTTTGTCCGAATAGTTGCGGTAGTGTGTTTCGAAGTCTTTCAAAAAGTCTCTGATCTCATAGTCACTTTCACCCTCGAAAAGTCTTTTGAAGGGGGGTGCCTTTATTGAAATTATTGGTCCTTCTGCTTAGAGTACCTGTATAGCGAGAGTATGGACAGATCGCTTCATGGAGGGCTTAGGGCCCAAAAGTGCAGCCATCCTTCTAACCAACTTCTAACGCACAAAATTTCACTGCCAGTCTGCAGATTCCAATTCTAACCATGATGGCCAAGAATGTACAGAAATGAGCGTTCTTCCGCGAACCGAACACCGTATGGTGTTTACTCGCATCAGCGTTTTCGAAACCGCTCTCGGTGCAACAAACGCGATTGGAAACATACACGAGTCTCTAAAAACGCAATTTTGAAAAAAGATTTTTTCGTATTATGCTATTCACTTCATTGAGTTGCTTCCCGTAACTCTCACACAAGTCGCAATTAAATGTAGACAAGGCAGCTTTTACTGTTTATTTACTCGACGCGATGTTTATGGGACGACGCACAATTTCCCGACGAGCAGAGAAAATTTTGACTTAAGCAAAAAAAAAAATAAAATAAGTCCGCGTACTCGGCACTAATTTAGCAAACACTGATAGAAGCAATGGAAGAAGAATCAGCAAAAAGGCTTAAAGAAATCCCAGATTTCGTCACGCGTCCAGATTCTCTGCGCAATCAGCGTCGTGACTTGAAAAGTTTGATCACAGCTGCGTACGAGAATCAGAACGGGAGGATAAATCTGAGACAAAGTCCCCAAATTGCTGCAATAGGCACAAGGAAACGATACGCTTAAACTAAACTCTCCTTTAAAAAAATGTCAGTATGAAGAAATCAACTTTCAGAACTTTGAAGTATGCACAAGTTAAACTTCGTAAAGATTTAATCTTGCTCACAAGTTTGAAACAGAATTTTAAAAAAAATAGCTCTTCCGCTGCCCCAGAAATTATTTGAAGCTATCTGTAGCTCTGTGAACTTACTACTTAAAGCAAGATTTGCGAATTAAATTCGACTGGCAATATAAAATTTCAATGAAATTTACTCAAGACTTTTGTCTAAATTTCTTGAATTACTTTTCCGCTGCCCCAGAAATAGAATAAACGAAAAAAATAAACTTTATTCAAGACTTTTGTCTAAAAAAAAATTAAATTCTTTTCTGCTGCCCCAGAAATGATCTGCAGTAAAATTTGTGAATAAAATCTCACTGATAACAAATTTTAAATTTTGACTGTTCGTCTAAATTTTTGAAAATAATTTTCTGCTGCCCCAATAAATTCGAAGGAAAATCCGTGAATCGAATTTCACTGAATATTTTATGCTTTCAATAAACCTTCTCAAGACTTTCGGCTAATTTTTCACTTAAAGGCAATGAGAATTTTAGGTTAGGATTGAACGATTGCAAGGAAATTTGCCTAGAGTTTCCTGAGTAATGAAAAAAAAATAACAATTTATCGAAAATTACGTAACGCTTTCTATTTTCAACTTTGTGAAGCTTAAAAATTACCAACTGTTGTCGTACTATTAATTAAATGAAAATTACCTATGGTTTTCGTGAATTTTTGACTCTGTGAAGCTCGAAAAAATTACTACTAACTCTGTAGATTTTCTTAGCCATAAAATGAAATTCTTAACGCTTTCTATTTTCAACTTTGTGAAGCTTGAAAATCTATACTATAAGCTCCAAGACCTCCTAATTTTGCGAAACTGGTAACGCTTAGTTCCAGCGTTCTACCGTGCCGATTTTCATGATTTTTGCGGCTATCGACGGGCAATTGTCTCTAGATAAGCCAACTCTTTTCAGATTTTCAAAATATGGCCCAGGTTTTTATATATTAAGTGGTAAAGTTGCGGATTCTCCCATTTAAACAATGTAAATTTATACTTTTTGTCATAGTTCGTTTGAGCGTTCTACCGGGCCGACTTCCATGATTTTTGCGTAAATCGACTGGTAATAAGCCCTAGATGAGCCCGCTGTAATCAGATTTTGGAAAAAGGACCCAGGTTTTTTTTTAAAATCACGTTATAAAAGTGAGTGAGTTTACAGAATGCTCCGGTACTGCTACCGCCATGCGCGGGAGGATGCGCAGTGGTCGAGGAAGTTGCGCAGTAGCTGTGTAGCCTGCGCATCAGCTTTACACTTATCTACACAAGATTCGCACTGGCAACTTCATGTTGAGCGGTGGCCGAATCGTCTAAGACGTCGAATGCGTTCACTATGAACTCGATGTGGGTTCGAACCCCGACTCCTGAAATCATAATTATTACCTGACTATCATTGTTCATTGTGTTACTGCAATATTTCATCAAGCAGTCATTCCAAAACGCGTCCTTTTAATTTTAAAGTAATTTTAAGTAAAGTTTAAAATTAAAGTATACCTCATATCGTAATTTTTTAGGGGAAAAATAAAACTAACACTGCTAGGAGGATAAAAATGGGGCCGCAAAGCGGCCCATTGATGGCGCGGAGCGCCTTTAGGGGGGTGGGCCGCGTAGCGGCCAGGGGGCGTAGCCCCCTAGTTACTAACTGTTTTCGCACCATCAAGTAAATGAAAATTACCAATAGTTTTCGTGAACTTTGACTTAGTGAAGCTCGAAAAATTACTACTAACTCTGTAGTTTTTATACTTAAAATTAAAATTATCCTACTAACCTGGGATTTTCGGATGACAAATGCCTCTGACCCGACGTCTCCACTATGTAATGGGGGGGGGGGGCGCCGAGGATAAAAGATCCAACACATGTAACTCAAAATGGTAGAGCTGATCAATATAATCGGTGAAATACAAAACGATAAGCACTAGATACACTGGCTGGGTGATATCTCTAATCGCTGCCTCGATATACGACCCCGCGCCGCCCTATGGTCCCAATAGCTCGATGTAAGCGGCATTAAATCAGATATGTATGTTTAAACATCGCAATATGAGTTTTCAGGGGTTTTTAGGGTCGCTGAGTGCAAAAATGCTAATATTTTTCAGGAAAAATCCATTTTTATACTCTATGTAACAGTGGTAATATTTGGTTAGAAACCTTAAATTGAGACAGGCGGACTATACTAAGGTAACGCGGTGGTGCAGTGGACATCGTGTCTCATCCATCTTCTTGATATCCCGGGTTCGATTCTCGGGAGAATTTTTACTTTCTCGCTCCCCTAGGGTAGAGAGGAAGTATTGTCATCCTCCAAGAAAAGAAAAAAAA